CAGGATCCACACAGGGGAGAAGCCATATGAATGCATGGAGTGTGGAAAGAGTTTCTCTAATAATACATGCCTTATAAATCATAAAAGGCCAGCAATGTTTGGTAACCAGGAGGTAAGCCGTGAGAAATCAAAGCAGCCCTGACTGTAGCCAATGTTGTCAAGCAAAGTTTAGAAATCCTGTATGCTTCCCTCTATCAATTTGGAATTATCAACCGAATTAAAAGAGAAAATTTCTCCAGGAGGGAGAAGGGAAACGGCTCAGGCAGGTGAATACAGGGCAGTCCACCCCTGCGAGCTCTCTTATGATCAGCCCGCCCAGCCCTCCGCAGGATGCCTTGAGTTTCACTTGAGGGGCTTTACCTGCCCATCGTATGTAGGGTAGACACATGGCCTATGAAGAATAAAAGCCTATTTAGAGTTGTGGTTGATTATTAGAGAGTGCTGAGTTCGCATCCGCTCTCTCACAAAGTCAAAATCGTCACCAATCTTAGAGTCATTCAGTAGCTTTATGTCGACAGGGAATGTCCCTTGCCAGTCATGAGGCACAGACGTGGAGACTGAATATTTACACTGCTGTTCAGCAATGGCAGTCTGGCAGTTGAAATGTCAGTGATTGCAGCGGGCAGGGTAAGAGGCAGGCGTTTTCAGCCAGCACAGGCACCTTTGCTTTAGGCAGATTCTCGCCCCAAGTCAGGAGCTCCTCCTGAGGTGACCGCAATCCTCCTTGTGAGTTCCTATTGAAGTCCACTGAAGAAAAGGACCATCCTTCGCCACTCTTGTGTTGGGGAATCTCCTTCTATTTCGAGATGCGAAGCATTTTTTTCTGGCAGGGCAGAATACATTGCCTGCTTTCAAATGCCCGGTGCCTCCCTTCACCCACACTTTTGCTCCTGTGGCCCCGAATTGTCTTTCCCACTTTCCTTTCCTCCCTTCTGGGCAGGGGGTTCCCTTTGTCACAGGAGGGGTGGGAATGTTGTGGAGGATCAGTTGTGCCGCTCGCTCTCCTGTTGTGCGGCTCCCTTCAGGTCTCTCTGGGCCTAGGTGGAGAAGCACTCCTTGGTGCCCAGGGTCTATTGCATCCTCCCCCCCCCACCACTTACATCTATGCCCAGTATTGCCAAGTCTGTTTATTTTTTATTGCCATTGATGTCGCTGGGCACTCTCCATGTGCTCCTGCACCTTCCTCATTGCAACCACCAGCAGGAAGCATCAGGGTCGGACTTCCTCACATGGAGCATGCGAAGCTTCTCTCCTGGGGGAGGTTT